GGCCTAATAATAAAGCGTGGCAGCATGTCTTCCTTTTTTTGGTGGCACACAAACAGTGGTCCTGTCACGGCACCCACCAGTAGATCGGCCACCGTCAGGTTAATTATAAGATACGTACTGCGCTTGCGTAGATGGCAGATTCTTGCAAAGGCGATGATAGCGATGGCATTGATAATCGATATTACAAGAAATTCAGTGATGAAGACTGGGAACCAGACTGGAGAATCATCAGTAGTCATTTCGTTATCTCGGATTCAACGTTCTTTCTGCAGTGGCGTTCTCGTATTTATTCGAGCCCAGCTATGGTGATTTCAAACAAAAAAAAAAAGATAATAAAATAAAGTACATTAGTATAGCCCGTTGCTAGTTGAGAGAAAGCAAACGTAAAGATCTAATAAATAATGTTACGTTTTTATATGTCTGTGCTCCCTTAAATATTTCGGAATAAATGATTGTACTATGCACGAATTTTAGTTGTCATAGATTTATTTTACTCGGATGTTAATGTTTCGCTTTGGATAAACAAGCTCATTAAAGAGCAGTGTTGTGTGACGATTTATGCCCATATAGCCATAAACAGATGGACGAAATTTTGCGCAGCTGATTTGACGAACACCACTTTATATTTAAATGGTGCTGATGAATAACACCTTATTCCAGGTTGGGAATAAAAAATTTTACCAATATATGGAAAAATGGTTTAGCAAGTGTTTCGTTAAGAAAAGAAAGAAGTCCACCCCGGCCACCTCGGCCCTCTCAGTGCTGCTCGTCGCCTGTTCGCTGGGTGTCTATCCGGGATGTTTTGCCTTTCATAGACTTTATTGTAGAACGCTTATCATTGATTCCTCACTTCGGAAGGAAAGTTTGTTAACCAGCAAGCCCATTTACGTGATAATGTTTTTGCGAAATTTAAGGTTCCTCACTTTTCATTTCGTTAGAAAAGAATACCTGATAAAAGGCCAATTTCAGTATATTAAAACTCTAACTTGGCTACAGAGATAAAATTAATGAACTCGCATCGAGGATGAGGAATGAATAATTAATTTCTTTTGTTTTGTTCCCCTAAGTTTCGGAGCCAAGTTAGAATTTGGATATATCGAAATTGGCCTATTAAGCAAATACTTATTTCCCTCGAGAAGTTGCTTATCCACTAGCGGAGTAAAACCGACAATAGGTTATCTACTGGAGAGTTCTTCGAGGCTGTAAATAAACTTTAGTGTTATATGATCGTAAATGGGTCAAATATAGATTAGGGTAAAGCGGAGTTACCTTAGCAATTCTGTATTGCGTTCAATCTGAAGGATTAAATGTTTTTGTAATACAAACGACCTGACTCTATTCCATGAAACAGTCGGTTTTGATAACGTTCTAGATGAGTACCGCCATTCATTCAATATCCCCGGTCATCTAAGGTGCTATTTTTGGCAGGATTGTAGTTTTACGACTAAAATTTGCCACAACCCGACCAACATTTAATAGAAAAGACGAGACAGATGTGCTGAACTACTTCCTTTTTCGCAAGGCATTTCTCTTACCTTGAAAGATATTTTTGCTAAGAAATTACAGGTAAATTTACATTGGTTATTTTCTTGCTTTTTCTTGGGGTTTGTCTTCGGGAAATTCAGTTGCATCAACCATTTTACAGTCTATGTCAACGCTTGATCTTTGAAATTGACATCTAAATTAGGCTTAAATTTGACTCATATGGAAAATTTCCTTGCATAAGAGTCAAAGCGCCTTGCTATGTTCCCTTCATTTTAAAAGCAATATTTTTTTCATTTTCCCCTAGAATCTACGACGTTATGTCAAAACTGACATACGAAGAAGAGACAGATGGGCTGGATGTGTTTTTGCCCCATAAGATTACAGGCCTTTGTTGGTTAAAGAAAATTCTAACTTTCTTGTTTTTCATTTTCTTGATCATAAAACAGTACTTACCTCCTACCCTGAGACTCGGCTTCACAGGTTTCCCCAGAATTTGAGGTGAAACTTCACGTTGGCAAATTTGTTGCTGTTTCCCGCTTTTGTTTCAGGCCTCAGACGACATTCAGCTGATTTAGAATCAAATTTGATGTTCTATTCGGTCCGTTAAACAGGGAATCAACCGATATTATCGAATACGCCAACGTTTAGCCTTTGAAATTAACTTGGCCTAAAATGAGCCTATTTGCAGCTTGCTATCTGATGCACAGTTTCGATAGCGATCTGTCATAAAAGAATCAATAATGAGTAGTTAAGCGACTTTGTAAAAACATTCCTTTTTTTTGGGCAAATGAATATCAATGACACAAAAGCTGAATCATAACTGCCACAATTTGACAGACATTTGTATAATTCCTTTATTGGGAAGGGTCAGAGGAATTTTACTGCAGATGACATCCCTCTGTTATGTGACTGAATTTTAAGAGGTATTTTAAGAGCTATTTTTTCGGTATTCCACTTTTTTCCACTAGAATCCACCACAATCTGTCAAAACTGATTTACAAAGAAGAGACAGATGAGCTGAATTTGTTTCTGTTCCTTACAAACACGACTTTGTTGGTTAAAAAATTCTAACCTTTCTGTTTTCATTTTCTTGATAGAAAACATTACTTGCCTCTTAGGCTGAGACTCGGATTCATAATTTTGCCGAGCATTTAAGGTAAAACTTCATGTTGGCAAATTGCTTGCTGTTTTCCGCTTCGGTTCCATTCCTCAGACGACAATCAGTTGATTTGCATCAAACTTCGCGTTTTATTCGGTCTGTTAAACAGAGAATCAACCGATATTACCGAAGACGCCAAATGTTAGTCTTTGAAATTAACTCGGCTTAAAGTTATACATTATGCAAAATTTGCAGCTTGCCATCTGACGGCACAATTTCAATAGCGGTCTGCTATTAAACAATCAAATATCACGTCATGGGACAGATAAAGGGATGAACCAGTTGTCAGTAATTTTGAGCGGAAAATGTCTCGTACTCAACAATTTTTTTTGTAATGTTCGAGGCAGTGACGCAGTTGAATTGTGGGCCTGTTACTCTTGAAAAATTCATCAAGCCCCGCGGTTGGCGATGAAATGCAAAGGTCCTGGGGACGAGACAGAAGTGGAAACCTCAGTTGTTAAAATGAAATCGGTTTTCGTTGTGGTTAAAAATCCTCTTTTCTCAAGCATTATATTTTCATTTTAATGTGTTGTTAGCATTAACATTTCAAACACTGGAGTATTTGGATTGTCATTCACGCTGTCTTAACGGCGAAGAACCTGCGCCTCGAAGGTGCCACAGCGGGATACCATACTTAGAAAAGTTGGTAGCCCATCGAGGTAAAAAGTTTTCGTTGGCACGTCATTGTCCGTTCCACGCCTGTCCGTTCCTACGTACGTGCGTACGTACTTTCACCACTTGCGCAAATTTACAAGCTTTAAAGGTCTTGTTTTTGTTCATAAACAAAGGAAATTGCAAGAAAACTACGGCAGCAAAAAA